GATTGCCTAAACTGGCTTGTAGCCTGTGTTATTTTTCCAAATACCCAAATGAACGTATTTTAGTAAGGAATTCCAGGCACAGACCTGCACCTTCCAGTATGAATAACTGAATACTAGATAGCTAATGCTTCTGCTTGTTTGAAGCCTCTAAATACAAAACATAGATATTACACATATTTTACTAAATATGAATTTTTTTAATATTATATAGGCACAGTTTTGAAGATGTTTGTGTAACACTTCCTCATATGTATAAGATGTTATATTGTAAAATAGTACTTGTATTAAAGATGCTGATCAGCTAAGGTATATGTAGACTTTGCACAAACTCCATACACTACCAATAAATTACAAAGCTGGCTACTACAATAAACAGCTTCTTCTTTGATGATGCTATGAACTTCTGCTTTCCAAAAACTAAAGAGTTCATAAAAAAAAATATATATCCCATAATGCAAACACAAATATTTATATAACAGACAACTAACATACCAGATTCCTGCATTAGCAGTGCTGAGTTGAATAATGCCAGTTTATGTGTTGGGTTGAGTTCCAGCGCTCGATTGAAATTCTTTAGGGCTTCTGTTGGATCTTTCAGTTCAATGTAAACGATCGCCAAGTTGTACCACAGGTCTGCATTGGTTCTGTCTAGTTCTAGAGCTCTAAGATAAGCTTCCTTAGCTTTCAGAGGTTTGTTCATTTTTAAGAGTAATTCTCCCCTGTTGAAGAATCAAGATTCAACCTTCAACTTTTATTCACACTAGTATGAAAATAATTGACAGGTTTTTTTTCAAAATTTGCCTTCCTACAGACAGTAGATATGAGATAACATTCTTTTTTTCTCCTTTTTTTTGTTAATTTGTTTTACACACAGAACAATACAGGGCCTTTTGACATACCTTTCCCAAAGCTTTCAGCTCTCAAAAGTCTGTATACAACACACACATCAAGGACAAAAACCATAAAAGAAATTATCAAGGGTTCCTGATACTGGCTTGGTAATTACACTGCAACAGCGATAGTTCAGGCATCTTTGCACCCCATGAAGTCCCAACAGCAATCACAACTAACAAAATAGTGAACAGAAGCCTCAATACCCACAGTCACATACTCTTATCTATTTAGCTGACATTTATGTTAAGTCTTGCATTTTCTGGACCACCTTTAACAAAAAAGGAAAAGAAAGCTCCATGATTCAGACTAACCAAAAGCTTTTGAGTTCAAAATTAAACTAGGAGATTAGAAACTTGAGTTTGAGATTCATTAAGAACTCTAATGGAAGCACCCTGCTATAAAATGTCTGAATATACAGCCTATGTGGAAACACACCATTTGAAGCAGGAATTAAAAGAACAGGGCTTGTAACGAATAATTGCTTATTACAGAATCACAGAATGGTAGGGGTTGGAAGGGACCTCTGTGGGTCATCTAGTCCAACCCCCCTGCCAAAGCAGGGTCACCTACAGCAGGCTGCACAGGACCACATCTAGGCGAGTCTTGAATATCTCTACAGAAGGAGAATCCACAGCCTCCCTGGGTAACCTGTTCCAGTGCTCCGTCACCCTCACAGTGAAGAAGTTCTTCCTCATGTTCAGATGGAACTTCCTATGCTTCAATTTGTGCCCGTTGCCCCTTGTCCTGTCACTGGGCACCACTGAAAAAAGTTTGCCCCAAATCTTTACCTTCTCATTTGGAAATTCATCAATTCCAGCAGCTAATTCACCTGTATGAACTAAATACTGCTCATAGCACTGCAAATACATAAATATTTACCTAAGAGTATGTATTTCTAAAATTAGAAAAGATACCTGCTGATGTAAGCCTGCTTGAAATCTGGCCTCATACTAATTGCCTGTCGATATAATTGATCAGCTTCTTCAAGGCGAGATTCATTTGCTCGAATTAAGTTTGCAAGATTGATATAAACATTCAGATGGTTAGGAGCAACTCTTGCTGCATATTTTTTACCTGGAATAATCTGTCAAATAGAATACATGTACCAAACACAGATGAGTAAAAGTATGAAAGACAATCAGTACAGATCTCCTCTTCACTCTTCCACATTTGTTTCAGGGTATCAACGGACATTAGTGAGTAGGCTCTTAATGATTACAAATAGCAATTCTTCTTTCCCAGAAAATCATACCAAAATAAAAACAGAGTATTTTTTTCTTCTTTAATTCTATGAAGTTGTAGATAACTTTTACATTATATTTAAAATATCAGACAATTAAGCTCTGCTAATACCCAACTGGGCTAATCCAGATAGCCATTAGAAACCAAACAGACCTTGCAAAACTTCCCCCATTCAGACAAAGAATATTTCTTAAAGCCTACACTGACATTCTATGAGATATTTTCATTCCTTTTTAACCCTCCAGCCTAAGACAAGTGTAAATAAGATTTTACCAGCCACTCATACAGCAGAAGAAAAGTAGTCAGGAAAGATGAAAATGCTATAACACTGTAACTGTTGCAATGTTCATACTTTTTTTGTCTAAAACCTTCATTATGTTCCACAATACAAACTTTATAGTTTCACACTTCTACTCAACAGACTGCTGATTTTCGTTGTCAATCTTATTTTACCGACAGCTTTTGTTACCTTTGTATGTTGTCCAAAATATTCCTCTCTCTTTCTCCTAAAGTGCTAGAATAAGCAGTATTTGCTAGGTATGAATGTAACTTAACAAATGCTAAAGATAACCAAGCACATGTTTTTAAAAGTACGTTCAGGCAAAGATTTTTTTGTTGCTACTGCAACTACTTTCTCCCACCTCCAATGCTGCATTTAAGTGTTCTCTTGAGGGCTCAAACTCAGACATCATCAGTGTACTAGATGTAAATCAAAATAAACCCACTGTGACTAGAAACTGTAGATGTACATTTTTAACTGCTGCTTTCTTTTACATTCTCAATTTCAGAAAAAAAAAACCCCACAGCAGTACAAAAAGTAACTTAAAATAGCTTTAACAAAGAAGGTCCAACAAAGAAGTTTTTTAACAGACATGACTGTATACAACCCACTCTTTCAACAGGTTTTAAAAAAACCCTAACAACTTTAAAGTATACGGCAACACAGAGTTTCAGGAAAAATACAAAAAAAATATCACGAATATAGGTCTGAAAGAGTTCCCTCCTGTGGTGGTATATAAAATAAAGTTATAATTACCTGTGGCATCAATGATTTAGCAATCATATATGATTCTTCTGCTTCTTTAGTTTTGTTCAAGTTTTTGTAAGTTCTTCCTACATTCATGTGGGCACCAATATCATCTTAATAAAGAAAAGAATGAAGTTTTGAATACTTTCATGCACTGAGTATCATGAAAATAAATACCTATGCCTTCAGAGTAGTGTGAAGTACAGGTACTGCATAAAGACCACCACCACCACCAAGCAATTCTATATTACTTTTCATCTTAATTATGAAGCCAATAATTTAACCATGAACAAAAGATGGATTATAAAGTTACTTTGGAAATGGTAAAAAATTGGAGGTCACACTACTAGATATCTATCTTTAATCTCTTCCTATAGCAGAGGTGCATAAATTGAAGGTTATTTCTTAGGCTTCTGAAAGGCAAAAGGAAGGTTTTCCGGTACTACTTAGAACTTCTTTTGCAATAATATGTAAAATAGAGTAAATGTGCACTTTGATACTATCTAGATTTTTAATTTTTTTATACATCTTTAGTTTTAAATAAGAAAACTAAATAATGATTGTTTCATAAGAAATTACAGTTTAAGTTAATTCAGAAAGAATATCAACCAAATAACAGTTTTAAAATTGAAAGTCTTTTCATCTTTTTATAGACAGAAACTTTTCTGGAGGCCTTTTTGGAACTTATTTCCAAAAACAATGGATCAATTAATTTAGCGTATGACATTGTTTGATGTTCAGCTGGAGAAAAACAGGTCATTGAGAAGACATTGTTAGGTAAGCTAAGCATACTGAAATACTAGGAGTGCGGAGACACCACTCAACGGCAACTAGTCAAAGCTTTTACCTGGTTGCACTTGTGTGGCTTGTATAAAGAACTGCAGAGCTCTTTCAAAATTCTTTTCATTTTCTAATGCATGCCCCACATTGTTCCAAAGTTTCGCATTGTTCTTATTTACCTAAAACCAGAAAAAAAGGTATTAAGTTGAAATTACCTAACAACTGATTTTCTTGTAACTGTCTTAAAGAGGTAAAACCACACAGCAAGTGACAGATTTCATCAAGCTGCTATATGTAAGGAATAACAAAAGTCTGAATACAGAATGATCACATTGAATTTGTTGCTCACCATCCATTTATTTTAGTTATTTGCCCCTAGAAATACCAAACGTTTTAAAATTCATTATAATTTTTATGGGATGTTGTACAAACTATCCTATCATGCCATATGCACACTGAAGAAGTCACAGAATCATAGAATGTTTGGGGTTGGAAGGGACCTCTGTGGGTCATCTAGTCCAACCCCCCTGCTGAAGCAGGGTCACCTACAGCAGGATGCACAGGACCTTGTCCAGGCAAAATTACTCTATGCATCAAGCTTTTTGTAGATTTATGTACTGAAACATATTGTGCCTTCATCCAGGTAAGAGAATACATTCAACTTCCTGAACACAAGAAAAAACTATCATTTATTTCTTGCACATGAATTCCCATGTGTGCATCACACTACTTTTAAAGCATTCCCAAAAGCAGTTAATAGAGGTTAATACTGTCAATGAAGAAATAAAAGTGGCAAAACAAGCAACATCTCTCTGCATTTTTATCATGCCCTACTGCAGCTTTTTGAGATGAACAGCAACACAAGCTTTCCATTATCCTTTTCAAATAGGATACAGTACCTTTAAAGCTGACATAAACAACGTGTACTCTGACTCCCAATCCCAGTTTCTGTGCAGTGTTTTTAAGGCATGAGTGAACAGTACCGCAACCAAACAAACCCAAGAAATTTTTCTTAGCACGCTATTAAATAAAACAAAGAAAGATTTGTTATAATTACACAAACAAATCTAATTCATACTATAAGAAGTATCTCATATGCTAGGGGGCAAATAAACTAAGGACCATATTAATGAATGTTATATTCCAATTTATTTGCCTCATCACCGAACAGTGCACTCCAAAATTTGACAGGAAATAATGTTCAATTTCAAGTTAATTTTGTTATTTACCTGTTTTTTTTGCTATCGCAATACACTTCACTTGAGAACAAAAGCAATCTACATAACATAATGTAAACAAAAAATACACAAAAATTATAGTTCTGTTAGAGCCTATCTGTAACTTAAGGCAATGCAAATGATCACGATGTCCAACAGTAAGGTTCTTCAAAACACTGTATAAAATGTTAAAAAATGAAAAGAGCAAATAAAATATCATCCCATCCTTTTGTCTCATATTAGACAATTCCACACAAATTCTTTACTGCACACATCACCTATATTTGCCACACTGTAGAACACATCTTGACAGAGAGGCCTGCTGTGGAGACTACCCAATCTTCCATAAGCAAATAAAATCCAAGTGCTACTGTAACATCTAAATAGGAGAAAGGTTTAGCATCTTTGTAGCAATTATACTTATAAAGCTGCAAACTGGGGCAGCAGCCACTCTGTCACAAGCTTGTCAGGAACAATCTTCTAAATTTTGTGCAGTTTATTTTTCTGGAGTTTAAACATGACTGACTTTAAATAGAACAGATATAAAACATACGCTTTAACATGCTGGTCATTGGTCTCTGAATTCCAATTTAATTATGAAAAAACATGTTAAACACTCAGCAGCCTTCCAACAATTACGAGTATTTTTTTGTTTTTAAAAATCTCCTTCCTGAGCAGACATAAAGCTGTTCACCATTGCCAGATATTTCTTATACTTGACTTACGCAACAGCTGTTCACACCTCTATGTACTTCACAGGGGTTCGCTAAAAACCGAAAGGTTTTTTTTCACCCCCTTTTTCAAGATCTACAAAATGCTGTGCAGATTTAGACTACCGTGTGCTTGGTTTTAAAAAAACAGAATTGAAAGAAATTCTAAAACATTAGCAAAGCGACTAGTGAGAACTGACATATACAGTAATCTGTATCTCCACCAGCCTTATGAAGAAGTTTATTCTTTCCACGTATTTCTAAAGCAAGGAAGCTTCTCTCTCATAACACTTCTTAGAGTGCTGATTCCCAATATTTTTGTAGTAAACGACACTGCTGCCTAATTTTACTCCCCAACCATCCTCTCCTGGTTCCTTGCTTTCTTTCATATCACTTCTGTTTTTACTGCCTCGTAGTGGGATTTGTGATAATACTTTCTCCTGACTCCCACAAGGTATCACTGATTTCTCATTATCCAGTGCTGTCAGCTTTGGCAGCACCAGTTAGCATAAGTTATACTGCAAGGCTTCACCTCTAATGATAGCAGACAACACAGACTGGGAATTGCTGCCTTTCCGTTTGTCTGAACTAGCATTAGTATTCCACCGGGCTAACAAGGGTAAAGCATCCAGGTGAGAAGGAGGTATGTGCAGTTCAATGTAGAAGACAGCAGAAAAAACAAAGGTGCACACTAAACATGCTTTTAAAGCACAATTTCCTAAGCAGAAATTGGTATCCAAAAAATTCTTTAGTTTAACAAATACTGAATGGCTCTGATGTCCATTCCTAGCATGGCATTTCTGCAAATGTAATCAGTAAAAAGATATTTTAATATGCTGCAGACTGATATACATGCATTATATAAACTTGAGTCTGTAATCACCTTTGAATAAACTACAAACCAAATCTGGCCAAGAAATTTTTTTGCCTAATCCTTAAAAACTTCTAGGATTTCAACAGAAAACATTTGTGTTTCTTTACACAAAAGAGCTGAGTTATACTACTAGGCTCATAGGTAAAGTCCATTTTGTAGTAATGTGTAATGTAAGCTACACCACATTACAAGAATGTTTGTTGCAGTCTGAGGCTTTTTTTAAATATACACACACATGCTTTTACGTACCTAAAAAATGAAAAATGTATAAAATATATGTGTATACATGTATGTGTGTGTATATGTATGTATTTTAAATAAATGTTCTAACACCCTCAGAATAATCCACTGGTCTCCTAAGAACTTCCTTGTTGTCATTTGTTCACATGAATGCCAAATGGTTTCTTGGTCATTACTCTGTGTTCATTAAGAACTTGAAACAGAGTAAGAGATAAAATGTAATAAATTCATACTGGTAAAAGCTCTACTTGGAAAGCTTGCAGTTATAAATATGGTTATCTTGTATGAAATTCAGAGATGAGTTAAACCAGTCACAGGTAACACTACCTTACCTTTTACTCGATAGTTTCTTCCATCCATGTGCTACTAAAATGCAGAATCCCATGCTAGGAACATACAACACTCGTTCTGCTACTACAAATCCAACAGGAAAAAAGAGGTTTGATGCAGGAATGAATGGTAGCACTATTAAACAGAGTGCCTAGAAAAGAAATGCAAATGAATTAGTAATCAAGATTAGAGACTTAAGAACTAAACTTAAGATTTATTTCTTAACTGCTTAAGAAATAAATTATGAAGAGATTACAAAAATGAACCCAGAAAAACATACATATGTAGTAGATCTTTGGGTTTTTGTTTTGTTCTTTTAAACATTAAAACCTGTTTTACATTGAGACCACTGTAAGTGAATTTGCTTTTCTATACTACAGAAAGGAGCAGTATATGACAAAACACTAGGATCAAAGGATCAAATTCAAAACAATGTTTTAATAAAGAGTTCCACATACAAAACCATGACAGTCTGAGAACCTTGGACATTATCTTTTATAACAACTAAAAATTTATACCAGGTTGCACGATGCATAAACCAGTTATTTCTACAAAACAATGAAGTCCATTTTTAGTTTCTGTAAAAAAATGTGAAGAAATAACATGAAAGCCAGACTCAGCCAATGAATAAACATCAGCATTTAGATAGTGCAATAAGGGCACCCTGAAATATTTAAAATTACAATTAACTTAAGAACTGCATAACTGCAGCTTTTAGGTTGGTGACAGACACCTTAACAAAAGCTGTGTTTACTCAAAGACAGAGAAATCCATCTGCTGCAAAGAAAGTGGACCTGACCGTGAAGTCATAGGTGACTGTTAAGTAGCAACTTTACAATCTCTGGTACCAGAAAAGGCTTAAATAATTATTTCAAAATATCTGACCTCCAAGTTACAAAAAACAAAATCCTTACAGAAACAGAATGTTTCTTTGAAGAAAAAAAGATAAATTCTCAAGAAATTTTCAATACAGCTAGCTGTCACATTCTGTCTAGATTTAAGCATAATTATAACTGCCTTTTCCATGCTAAAATAGTTAAGACATCCAGTTTGAAAGTCAGTCTAGGATTTCATATACAAAAATGCAATACTGATTTAAACCTTCAAGTAAGGTTTTCGCTTATATTTCTAGGGGTTAACACGGTTCAGCCGATCCACAGCAATTCAGTAAGCTACACAAAAGTGCATACATAACTGAGCCTCAAAGAAATCACAAGCACAATATAGAGAATATGTTGATTACTTGGGGACAAAATTTGATTTAATGCCATTTCACATTCCTCTCCCTTTCTCCTTTACATTTTTATGGTACGTGCTCCTTATAGAGCACCTACCAATCTGTAAAAGTAAAAGCCTCAACACAGAACTCTATTACAGATTTCTGTAACCCACTTTGAAATGCAGGATTCATCATGCTATCCCCAAGCCAGTCGTCTGTATCAGTTTTTAATTTAGTTATAGCAAATACCTTCACCTTTGGAGGTGATAATGAGAAGCAAGGGTATCATTCTGTATTTCATTCTGTTTTGAGCAGCCAAAAGCATTTGTGAGTACAAAAGCAAATGCACAAAAGCACACTGAAAATGTGCTTTAGCAAACAACATGCTGTTTTGCAAATGTTTTTACTGCAATGTGAATAACCTGTATTTAGCTTTATAATGTATGTAAGGCTTGTACACAGGCTTAAATAAATTAACTTTTTTAAAAATCTTCTGCTAAACTGATTCAAAGAAATCACCTCTTATTGTAAAAAACTATTGTTTTATATTATTGTCCAAAAAATACAGGTTTTTTGGTTTGTTTTGATATAGCATGGCACCAATCTCACAGGCCCACAACGTCAACATATGTATAGCGAAAGCCAATTCTTTCCAATGGGCTTGAGTGGAAAGGATTCTGCAGCTGATAAAGCAAGTGCTTGGTCTCCACTAAACACTTCTGAGCTAGACATCTAATAAAAAGGTTTTTGCATGTTCTTCTCTGTGCAATTCCTCTGATGACAAACATTACACAATGTTTTGCTGAACTTCTCTTTAGATCCTTTTGCCTCTCCGTAGTACACTGTCCTTCAAATGCAATTTCTTGGGCAATAGACTCCAAGCCCTAGTGCAGATAAAAATGTAATTTCTGTTCACTTCTTCCTTCTTTTTCTCACTGTCTAAATAATATCCTGGCCAAAGCAACTGAAAAACAAAAACAAGACAGAAATCATTAAAGTATGCAGGAAGAAAAAAAATCATATGACAAAACTCTAAAATACAACCTTAAGTTACGAAGAGTGAACTGCTAAGTACCCAGTCAAAAGTTCACAAGGAAACATTTCAAGGCCTAAGTGAGGTGCAAGCACAGGGACTAGAGAGATAAATACTGTTAAATTTAGAAGTAGTGATGCCTTGGCACAACACTTAAAAAAAGCGTTAAAAGCTCACTCCAAGAAGTCTAAGGATACCTGTCTGTTCCTGACATTTGCACAGTAACAAGTCACCAAAGCTTGCGGCTGAATAGCATGAAGTGCTGTCTTCTCAGAAGGGAGGTGAAGTACCCTTGTTTGGTACACTTAGCAAATATCAAAAGACACTAAAAAGCTTTTATTAAATTTCATGATCCAACGAAGGAATGTCTATACCCAAGAAATTCCATGAACAAACAAGGGCCATGATCACAGCTTGATTCTGAAACCTACTGAAAAGCCAGTATTCTTAGTACTCAACATTTTCAATATGTATAGCATAACGTATTTATAAAGGTAACTTGACTGTTATAAGTGATCTGACTGTTCACAGGGCTAAAGTAAACAGAAAATATAAGAGAATTTAACAGCTTATACATTGTTTCCAGGGCATGTCCTTTATTAATGTAAGAATAATTGATTACTTCAAGCACCATAATGACATCAACCTGCCAAAGCATGTGTTCTGATTTACAATATACAATCCCATTTTTTGTTAGTTTAATATTGTCAGGTGCTAAAAAAATAAGAAGCAATTTATCTGTTTTGTCCTCTCCTAATTCTGTTATTTTGAAAAGACAATTTTAGAACCTATCGCAAAAATTCAAATAAGACAAAATGAAACACAATGTACCCACTTACCAAAGTTATTTTTCCTTGGAGGTGACTGGCATCAAACAGATGAAAACTGACTGAAAATGAGTCCTTCAGGTTTTTCATCTCCCAGTAATGAGTTCATCCTGTGAGACTGTGGAACGTCCACTGGCACTTGAGGAAGTGGGAGAATGAATCCCTTCTTCCGTCTTGTCCCTCAAGCAGTACAGCACCAAATCCATATCCACATCAGCAAATACAGAAAGGTATGTTCAGACATACTTGCGACCTCCTTTCTCCTTTGCATTTTCGATCCCTCTCTTTTGCATTTTTTTTTGCAAAGTCCAAATAAACATTTTTAATTCTTGCAGCAGGTCTAAAGTTGTACCTTTTCTGATCTCATAAAGAAAAGTAACTTGTATTACTAAATAAAAATTTACTTTCCTCACTTTAAAGATGGTACTATGAATTCTCTAGTCAGTCAGACTGAGAAGCCATCAGAAAGAAGTTGCTGTCTCTCCCTCTCTCCCTTGGCAGACTATCCAGTCTGCATCAGGACACTAATGGCCTACTGGAAGGCAGAAATAGGCTTTGGCCTACAGTGTCATTGCACGTTACAGTACATAACAATTAATTTTTAATATAAAATACTGCATTCTCATTTCCTAAGAAATTAGCTTCCAGGCACTTAGACATTATGTCTGAAAAAAATTAGCATCGTACTGAAGGTTATATACACAACATAGTTATATATTAAAGGAAAACAACTTCCATTAAACAAGGATTATACTGTATTAGGTGACATTAAGGCTCATATGCTGGAGTGAATGATCTCAGAACACCCCTCCTACAAAAAAAACTTGTAATAATACAAACAAATATAAAAAACCCATCCTCAAACAAAAAACAACTGACTTACAACAAGGTATGCTAACAATTCCATTAACCCTTTCCTCTTCTGCACTTTCTAGGGTAGGAAGTAAACAGAAATGTAGGGA